CTGCTAATCCAAATTTAGAAAAGGAAAAACCTCACCACTCGTGCTTCCACTGGACCCTGCAGGCAGAGATCTGGGAGACTGACGTGATAAGAACTCTTACCTCCTGCTGGCTCCTGTCAGAGGTCCAAGATCTCTTGTCTGCAGTAGTCCTGGAGTGAGCAGCATCCAGGCAGTTAAGTTTTCTCTTATCTTTGTCACCAATTGTAGAGGAGGAAGAAATATTCCTCTACCCTTATAGGTTCTTTTGGCTGGTCTAGGAGTTAAATTGACATGAGACAGAATAAAAGGAGAAAATCAAACAAATTTAATAACGTGTGTACATGGGAGAACCCAGGAAAACTCAGTAACTCACCACCTTAAGTACCAGCAACAGACAAAGGAGGATGTTTGGGGTAGTGGTTGGGGACCTCAAAGGGGAGGAAGGCAATTCACATGGAGATGGAAAAGCAAATGTCTGGTAAACAAATGCTTGTCATGCTTTGCAAAGACAATGAGACATGGGGAGGACTTTGATCAAATGGGCCTTGCTAGGTTCCTCCCTACCACACCTAGTTTATAATATGCTGTAGTTATCTATGGTGATAGCTCCTTCTTGAAACAGGCCTTCTTTCTCCAATTCTTTTAGGCAGTTAGGGGGGAAAGGTCCAAGTTTCTTCCTGAGTCTTTTGTTCTTAAAAATAATCAAGCCAAAGAGATACATTTTGGGGTGGTAAATTCTGATCCCCTACATCACCAAGTGTAGGGGAGGAAGAAATATTCCTCTACCTTTACAGGTTCTTTTGGCTGGTCTAGGAGTTAAATTGACATGAGACAGACTAACCAGAGAAAATCAAAGTTTAATAACATGTATACATGGGAGAAACCCAGGAAAACTTGAGTAACTCACCAAAATGGCTGAAGCCATCACCTTAAATACCATCTTCAGCTAAAGACAAAGGAGGATGTTGGGGGTAGTGGTTTGGGACTTCAAGGGGGAGAAAGACAATTCACATGGAGATGGAAAAGCAAATGTTTGGTAAACAAATGTTTGCCATGCCAGGCAGAGACAATGAGACATGGAGGGGACTTTGATTAAATGGGCTTTCCTAGGTTCCTCCCTGTCTACCACACCTATTTTTTATTACACTATAGTTATCTATGTTGATAGCTGTTTCCTGAAATAGGCCTTCTATCTGAAATTCTTTTAGGCAGTTAGGGGGGAAAGGTCCATGTTTCTTCCTGAGTCTTTTGTTCTTAAAAATAATCAAGCCAAAAAGACACATTTTAGGGTGGAAAGTTCTGATCCCCTAGGTCTAGATGGAACATGAAAGAAGCATGGTGCCTGTTCTTCATATTATTGTATGATCTACAGATTAAGAGGTGGTGAAATAGTGATGTAAGTGGTAGTGAATTATGTAAAATTAAAATATTTCATAAAATATCCTGGCCGATTGTAATGTTTGAATGTGATGTGAAAATCTTGCTTTTTACCAACATAGTGATTTTGCTGAGAAGGCAAGAAAAATAAATTTTATGGAATAACCCTTTGATTTTTATCTATTTGGCTCTTATGTATTTTTCTCTAACATCTCACATCTCCTTTAGCATGTTTTACTCATACTTTCTCACACTGAAGAATAAAACACTTCATGCTAATGCTGGCAACACTGCCTGCCAGCCAACAATTTTATTTTGGCATCTCTGCCAAACCTGGACAGCAACGTTTGTTCATTTGAAAATCCTGTGGCATTTTGGCCCCTATTTCATAAAAACTAATGAAATACGGTATAACTCAAAATTAATGTAATGAAAACAAAGAAAGAAGTCAACAGCATGCTGCAAGTCTCAAATCTTTAGCCTCGTCACAAGGGTTTTGGACTTAAAACACATCTACTGATAATCATTTGTGAAAGAAAACACAATTAAAGATGCTAGGAATATCACTAAATTTCATGTCAAAGAAATAGAGACTCATTCTTCATTTATTTCTCACAAAATGCTCATAATTCTACTGGACATTAGAGTTTTTAAAAAAATATAGCAATTAAATTGTGATGGAGATGAGAGAACATCAAAGAACCTTTTCTATTTGAGTCCAATAATTTTCAAATTTAGTTTCTTGGAACAGTTTCTAAATAGCTAAGAAAATCAACAGTATATTGTGGACTCTAGGAAAAGAACTGCTTCACACTTCCTGAATCTTTTCAAATTAAAGATCTGCCTATCAATGATGCCAGATTTTATTTTTTGTTGCCATTACTTTGCTAAGGAAACAATAAGGCATATGTAGACACTTTGTCTATGCTATTTTTAGAAAATACAATGAGATCTGTTTACTACTTATGACTATTGTTGGTTGGGCAAATAGAGGTTATTTTCTGTACCAAAAACAACATAATGGAAAGGAAAGACCTAATACAGGATTATCTGTGAAAAGAACTGGGACAGACACACAGGGAGACAAGTGACAATTTAACAAGAGACTCATGTTTATTATCTGATTTACAATTGACAAAGCAAAGGTAGGTGCACAAAGAGCTGTTCGACAGTCAAGCCCCAGCTATCAAACAACAGTACTTCCCTGGCTGCCCCAGCGGGCACTTCCACTGTGCTCTGCAGCACAACCACAGTGTAAACACTGTGTGTTGCACCCGGAGTACAGGCATCTGATATCAAAGGAGTGGACCATGACAAACACTCAAGGGATCTAGTTCTAGATGTCAACAGTCAATGTTAGTAACCAACAAGAACTAATCACATACTAGAATGGTCAGAAAAAATAACAGGCTTTTTTGAATACTATATAAAATACACCTTTAATAGAGAATAGGCTCTTGTGAGCTGCCTCTAGCTTATGTCGTCCCTTTGTCAAAGTCTGTTCATTCATGTCAAATCAAGGACATATAGTACAAAACTTTTTAAAAAATTACTTTAACAATGGTCATTAACTTCTCCCTAAGACTCATGCTTAAGATTTGGGATCATCATAATTCAGGAAAACTTTTAAGTCTGAGCTCATGAAGGTATCCTTCCTACTAGATCTAATAGGATACTCAGAAATACCTGAGGTATAATCACTGAGAACCTTCTTGAAGGAGAAAAAAAAGATTGGAGTTTCCTATACTGGCATAAAAGTACATACACAGTTGATAAAGAAGAACTAAAATGTGAACAGTACTAACGCATAACAGAAAAATTGAGGAGGAACTTGCTATCCAGTTCTTCTCACTATACTTTGCACACAATTTTGCTATAATAAGAGATTCTCAGGCTGTACCAAAAATGATTTTAGGTGCAAACTTCAAAAACTGCAAAACCCAATTTCAAAACAGGATTCATCTCTAGAGACAAGCATGCACCAGTATACAGTTACTGCGTTTCTGATGGAACAGCAACGTCAATCTAATCTTCAAAAACCTAAGTATGGTTCTTTTTCATCTGATGTGCTTATTTGGCTGTGAATTTGCCTTTGCCTTGCCTCCTAAGTGATCATTTTAGCATCTGTTACAAAAAAGTATACTAATTACACAGAACGCTCCAAAATCTAGCTTAATTTATACCTATTTATATAATATTCATAAATCTGATAGTTTAACACTTTGTACTATTCTCTGGCCCTACATTTTCCTACTTCCTGATGTTTCTTGGAAACTGGCAACAGGAAGCTTTCTTTCTTTGAGAATAAATAAAAAGCTTTAAGAATTGGCTAAAATAAGCACCCCAGAGTTACTTTATGAAGTAGAAACTCAAATACTATTTTTTAATAAGTGAATTGGAATATTTCAGAAATTTAAACATCAGGAATTCTTTTGGTTAATGCCTGCCACATTCAGGGACACTTACATTGACCTATGGACCTGCTAGAATCCTTTCTGAACACGCATGTGTACAGTCTGTTGACCTCAGCATGACTGAGCAAGGAGGGAGAATGGGGAGATGACACTTTCACTTTTCTTTTTTGAGAAATTTACTTAGAAAAGTTTTATCAAAAGATTCTAAAAAGCATGGAAAACTCACATATTCTTGCCACTGCATGCATGTTGGTTTTTCTACCCTTTTGAGCACACAGCTCCTCACGAAGGAGAGGCACCTTGAGAGAGGAAGGACCCTCCTCTGGCCTGAAGATAGGTCTATTAATGGGAATCAAAGGAGCAAGACTCATGAAGAATTCGTCAGAAAACTGCCTTTCAGTTAAGTCAGAACAAAGGAGTAAAACATTTACAAATTAAACACCAAAAAGATCAAGTAATATGTCTCTCATTTTCAAAAATAAAATAATTATTCCCCTCCCTCATCGTCTCTCCATCATGCCTTTCATATAATGCTATTTCTTTCTGAGCTGTACTGCCTAGATGAAGCCATGTCATCTGTGAGGAGCAGACCTTGGTCAGCAACACTCAGAAAACAGATTTATTTCTTCCCAATTCACAGCCTTGCGTCACACGGTTAAACACCAGAACCTAATCCTCAAGTTCCACTTTGCAGTTTCACATAGTTTGTTTAAAAAAAAAAAAAAAAAAAAAGACGCCTCAAGGAAAAAGCAAAAGCTTTGACTCTCCCATTAAAAAGTTCATTCTTTAATTCTACAGATATCAAGAAAAAGGCAGATTTGTTTTAATTTTATTTTACACTTAAAAAACCCACAATCTCAAAGCAAGCACCTGGGTTTTACTTCAGCTTATAATAATTTATTTGCCTGAGAATTTTTGTGCAAATACAGGTCATCTTCCATTAAAAATATGCATAGTATACTTTGGAAAAAGTTTAGTTGCAACCAACTTTCCTTATTAAAAAACTCACAGACATAAATACACAACGTTCCCTAACTCCTATGATTGCACTTCTGGTTGAATCCCTTCCAGCCTCCATGGAAATCTGAAAGACACGTAATTGTGTTCAAATGTCTTGGCCACTGCACTTACCCAGAAGAAATATTCTGAAAACAAGTTTCCTTGGTTCCAATTAACCCAAATTTTCCTTTTAAAGTAAATCTCTCCTACTCCCCACTCATGTTGTTTTTTGGGGGTTGTCATATAAAAATACAAATTTTAAAAAAGAACTTTTAATTAATCACAAATACAAAAGGAATTTGGTAGTCTTTGGGCTGCCAGTGGCTCAAAGGCCTGAAAACAGAAAGCAAAAGGGAGTCTCCACTCTTCTGATTTCATGAAAAAGGTAACTTGTGTTAACGCTGTGAGCACACCATTTGATGGAGGGGCAAACCTATGAGCCATCTCACCACTGTCCCAGCAACAGACTGAGCTTTCCCCAGCAACCCTCCAGGACAGCTTTCCATAGGTGACGTCAAAGCTGCTCCTTTTCTCTTCCCATCTCCTAACCTGGGTTCTCCTTGCTTATGCTTACCAGAAATAAATGTGCTAGCAAGTTCAGTACTTTTGGTATGTTTCAATATTACTGAATTTATTTTCTAGTCACTTTTCATTTTCAAGACAAGAAAACCCAACTGAAGGAGTGTATTAAACTTTTCTTCCTTTTCTGCCTCCAAACACTCATGACCTTTTCATATATACTTTCAGTTTATCAGACCTCATTCATTAGGGCCTCATCGCAATTCTGTTTCTATTCTCCCACGTTCCTCTTCCCACGTTCACAACCCCTTCTGCAACGTTCCTTTTCTCTCAGTCCAACCAGACTACATCTATCAGTGCAAATCTATCCTTCATGTGCTAATTTGTGTAAGAGGTCAGATAACAGCTGAACCTTAGTCCTCCTTCAGGATACCCATTTTGGGTGAGGATGTGCAAACTGGGGCGCCAAAGCTACCCATCATGACTGGAAGACTCTGATTCCTCCTCAGTCCACTCAATAAATTGCTACCTGAATTTAAATAAACAGCAGAGTCTGGTCTTTGAAGACCAATTTCTGCCTCTTGGCTTCTTCCATTTTCCCGTGCATCAGAGGTCTTGATCACTCTGGCTATCCCCAGTCTCTTCAGCCTGTCCACTAAGTTCATCTTCAACTGTCCAACATCAGGAGGGTTCCGGGAAGGTCTCAAACCATACATCTCCTGGAGGAATGTTTCAGCTGGTCGGGAGGCCAAAAAATTTTCAGAGAGATGCACTCGAGGCTCAAAGGGCAAAGGAGAAGGGCAAGGTGAGTGAGAAGGTGAATTTGGTGGTGTGGAAGGGATAGCCAGGGCTTTAGGGAGAGGCTGGGGGAGGGGGTTCTCTGAAACTGGACTGTGATACACTTTAGCAGAGATGCCTCGCTCTTGTAGAAGTTTGGCCAAGCTCATGGTGCTACTGAAGGTGATAGTGGAATCTCGCCGGTTGGTGATGGATTCACCAATGCTGAGTCTATAGGACATAGCAGGAGAATTCACCGCTGTATTTGATGAACTGCTACCCCTACTTCCACAGGATAATGAAGGGAACCCAGAGCTTTAAAAAGAAAAAAAAAAGCAGAAGAGAGAGTTTAAGAATAAAAAGCAATCTCCAAGTCAGCATTTAAAGTAATTACAGTAGCAATCCACAGTAAATACAGAGGAACAGGCAACACATCAGTAAAGAACTCTGTGGAACATATCTGAGTAATGAAAATTCTGTGATTCTATGTTACTTCAGTGATTGGTTAATGATTTGTAATTTGTAACTTAGTCATTAACTTATTGAAACATATTCCTTTACATAGGATATGAAAAAGTCTACTGTACTCTTAGATAACTTCATTCTTAAATTTTAACTCTAAAATATATACCCGTGGAAATACAACTAAATTTTATGACAAATCAAAGAAATTAAAATATTAAAGAAAGTAACCTTTAAACATTTTTATTAATATATCCATTCCATAAAGTGAAATACACCAAGAGACAACAATCCATGAGTAAACAATTCTTCAACTTTTTAGAAAATATAATCTTTCATACTTAAACCTAAGATGCTCTTCTAAGGAGAAATTTCTTTTTAATCTTTCAATTTTGTATTACTGAGAACTAAAAAAGTTCTAATTGTTAAATCTCCATTTTCAAGAATGTTAATTCCAAACAGTAGGAGTATAAGGATACCCGTGGAATGAATTTTTCTCGATCTTGACTTAGAACATGTGTTTCTGGGAAATGAAAAATTATTAAAAGCTTTGACAGCTATTAGAATCTTTCTTGTTATTCTATGTTTTGTTAAAAAGAAAAAAAAACCTTAATAAGAAATCATGTACTCAAGGAAATGGTGATAGAATGAAGAGGATACTTGTTTAACCAACTTTTCCCCCTTGAGCAGAAGTTACCGGTATTTAATAGATAAACTTTCCCTCTAACTCAAAATACTCAGTATATCAATTTATCAAGATTTTTAAAGATTGTGAAAAAAATGCAAGTTTAGGATAAATAAATAAACTTGCTAAAGTACCAACTTGTATAAAAGAAGCAAAATGCAAACAAGTTTGACTCCTTGGCTAAACCAGTCCAACTAAGAACCTCTAATCTGATGCAGTCTCTATACTGTACTCCGAGTCCGCCACTTTCCTGCCCCTATTACTGTAGAATTGCCTGTCCTTTCCCAAATTGTACACGTCACATGATGGTATCAGCTTGTATTGAGAGTCCCCTTAGGAAACAATTTAATAAAACTCATCTTGTTGACTATAAGAACAACAGAGATATGCCTGCTCGTTACAGACTTTATTGAGATCTTTATTGGATATCTCCCAAATGCTTCCCCAAACAACTGATCTGCTTCTATCTTATAAACATTGTGAATCTTAATCTTATTAGCCTCCACACTGGCAGCTACAAAGTTAAGACTCAAATACATGGCTCATCTTAGCAAGTGTAGACTTTATGGTATAATTGGTACACTAGTTTTATTCCTCTATCCATTTTATATCCTTATTCTTGATTCCTCTTCGCTTCATTTTTCTTCTCTACTTCTAGTTAACACTATCCCTGCAATGTTTTACATATCTTTGAAACTACCTTAGATTCTTTTGGGAATTGGTAGGATAGAAATAGCAGCAATATGGCTTAATAAGATCTCTCAACTACATGTTAGAATATCCATGTTCTAGTCTGTGTAGTAAATAACTTGGCCTTGCCCAGAGGGTTCTGGCGTTTGTCCTCAGCTTCTGGGAGGTAATCTATGCCATATCTGATAGAAGTGTCTTTGTCTAGGATGGAGGCTGGCCATGCTAGATCTTGGGGTGGACCTGGCCACACCCAATAGTGGCAGGATAGGGGCTGGCCATGCCTGAAAGACCAACCATGTGATTTAGGGTGGGGGCTTTGGGTCAGTGGACCTGGAGGTGAATTCAACCATATGGGTGATCAATCAATCCATCCATCCATCATGTCTATGCACTGAAGCCTCAATAAAAAATTCAGACACTGAGGCCTAGGTGAGCTTCCCTGGTTGGAAATACTCTGTGTGCACTATCACACGTCGCTGCCAGGACAGTAATGAACCCTAAGTACAAGGGAAGCTTCATGTGTGGAACCCTCCCAGACTCTATGGGTCTCTTCCTTTCGCTAATTTTAGTCTGTATCCTTTCCCTGTAATAAACAGCAACCTTGAGCAGAACAGCTTTCCGTGAGTTCTGTGAGTCCTTCTAGCAAAGTAACGAACCAGAGAGTGGTTTTGAAAACCCCCAATTTGCAGGTGGTGTCAGCAGTGAGGGCAGTCTTGTGCGGAGGACTGGTGCCTCAAATCTTGCAGTTTGGCTAACTCTGGGTACAGTCATTTCCGACCTGTCTGCCCTCGGACCAGCCACCTGAACTTTCCATGCCTCAATTTCTTCATTTACACAATACATACTCACTTGCCTTGCCTACTTCAAAGAGTTATAACGATCAAATGAAAAAATACAATGTGAAAATATTCTAAAGACAAATTATCACAGAACATTAATTAAAATTCTGGGAATTAAAAGTAATTTTTAAGAAATTGATGAAAACATAGTTGAGGAAAGAAGTGAAGCCTCAAATTGCCCAGCCCTCTTACCTGGGGGTAACCTGAGTGATATCAGAGGGATGCAATATCCTACAGGTGGTGAAGGTGTAAGTCGAGTTTGTGCATGACAGACACTTTCCTGGGTTTGAGGTTGCAACTGAAGTCGAGATTTTTAGGGAACCAAACACAAAATCGAAAGACTTGGTTAATAACGTAAAAAGTTCATCATTATTTATTAATAATACAGTATTTATCAAGTGTTTTTTGTACAAAAATCCCCAAATGTAAAAATGAAACATACATAAATACTGTATTAGTATCGACTGGTTAGTATATAGCTAAATCCTTCAATACTTTAAAACTGTAATTCAAAAGGATTATAGATAGCCTGCAAACAAGAGAAAACCACATTCTGAAAAAATACATTAAACAAACTCCCAAGATCTAGTCCTCCAATCTTTCTAAGAAAGCCAAACTATCTACTCCAGCAGTTCTACAAGTGTGGTTTGCCAAACCTGTGGGAATCTACAGGTCAAAACTACTTTCACAGCAATGCTAAGACGCTGTCTGCCTTTTCAACGTGGCTGGCATTGGTGGTAAAACTGCCGGCTCCTTAGCACAAGTCCAGGCAAAGGCACCAAGCTGTACTAGCATTCTTCACGGTTGTCCACTCACAGTAGGGGAAAAAAAAAAAAAGCCAGATTCACGTAAGAATGTCCTTGATGAAGCATTAAAAATTATTTATTAAATCTTGACCCTTGAATCTTTTTAATATTCTGTGTGATGAAATGGGAAGTAAGCATTACACACACTGCTGCAGACTGAGATACACGGGTTATCTAGAGGAAAAGCACATGTGCAATGGAGTTGAAATTTTTTCATTCAACACCATTTTTACCTGAAGGAACAATTAATAGACAAACTACAGTTATTCAGATGTGCAATCTGGCAGAAATTTTCTTGAAAATGAATGTAGTGAACCTGTCTCTTCAAGAAGAATAGCTAGCAGGATTTGCTACCACTGACAAAATTTGAGCTTTCAAGTGAAAACGAGTTTTCGAAAACTTGTATTAACCATTGAGAGCTTCAAAGCTTCCTAATACTAAAAGACTTATCTGATGAGATAGGTGGCGATATTAACGTGATTTTAATATATTATATAATGAAATTTGGAAGATCTGCATAACTCAGTGAACCAATATCTTCCAAATGACCGATGCCTGATGTTACAATATCATTCATGGGTAAAAGATGCATTCAAACTGCAGGACAGACCAATAGATTTTAATGTAACAAAGTACAGTAAGTTCACTGACAGGGTTTCAGATTCCACATTGCTATGAACCTTAAAGAAACTACCACTTAAAAAGTTTTGGTGTAATATTAAGAACATCCACAAACACCTGAAGAGGCTATTAAAATACTCTTTACTTTTCCAACTACATATCTGTGTGAGGTTGCTTTGTCTTTATACTCTTCAACCAAAACAACATATTGTAATAGACTGAACATAGAAGCTGATACAAGAATCCAGCTATGTTCTATTAAGCTACGAATTACAGACTTGTAAAATTGTAAAAGAAAACCATTCATCTACTTAAAAAAATACCTATTTTTCATAAAACATATTATTTGTGTTAAGAGGTAATTATTATCTTTAAGTGAGTTAATAAATATTTTTATATTTTCTCAGTTTTGATTTCTAATATAGTAAATATCAATAGACAGAAGCCACATTAACAAGCACTCTGAAATTCGCAGTGATTTTTAAGAGTGTAAAGAGATCCTGAGCCCAAATGGTTTGCGAGCCACTCACTGAACTGATCTCTCTCTGCCCTATTTATGCAGGCTGGCTAGGAAGTGGAGAGAATTAGAAGGGCTACTAAAGCTACAGATGTTCATCATCTTACATTCAAGACTGAGTACACTCCAGTAAGATTAAAATAGAGGTGGTCAGCTGACCATACACCAAGTCAGAATGCAAAGTACTACTGGTTCCTAGACTACATTCAACTGAGCACTTTCCTCACCTGTAACTGGACCACCTGCTGAAGTAATGGGCGGGAGGAAGATTCCTGTTACTGGCTTGGATATTGAAGGTTTCTGTTCCATTTGAAGAGGCTGCTGAACTTGAAAAGTGATACCTTCCTCTTCATCCTCTTCTAAATCAGAGAGGTGATAGATGGCATCATTGGGCAACTGGGTACAGCCTTTAGTGATAACACCTGGCCGTGGGTCAAGAATAGTTCCTAAATTTGGTTGAGCAAGCTGCTGCCAGTGGTGCAGAGTTTGTGATCCTGAATATGCAAGACAAAAAAAAAAAGGCATGTTTTAAATTTCCCACAAATATTAAATCTTGAAACAGAAGCTATAATTGCATGTGTAAAAAAGTGATGATAAAACTACTTATTTGGTCTTAATATTCTGGTAAAATTTGTAAATTAAAGTTCTCTGTGGAAGACTGACAAGATGCTAAAGGTGTAAATAATCATCTTTCTATTTCAAAAGTTAACTTTAAAAAAGACATCTAAAGCAGCAGTGAAAAAACGAAGGCAACGCCCTTAATAGGAACTAGGATGCTGAGGCAGTACGAGAAGGAAGATATGCACCTCAGAGGTGGGGCTGTATTTTCCCAGGTGACAAAAATCAGTACTCCTTTGGCTTGGAACTACGCTTATGAACTGTGAAGTCAAAAGCCAGACTCCCAGGTTGGGAAGACACCTTGAATTTCAGTACTTTTTGTATACTTCCTCACCCGGCTCATGACTCTCCTTTTTCCAGGCTCTCAGGGAGAGTAGGAAAATGAAGGAGATGCTAAAAGGAGGATATATCCCCATGGTTCCTGTCTACAAACCATGGTGAATGATCTTCACAAGGAGCAGCACCAGATGTAATGTCTAATTATGTCACTATAGTCATTTCATCCTAAAAATGGCAACTCTGACAAATACCTGCACTTATCATTAAGAATAAAACTAACTTACAGAATCTTTGCATTTGAGGGGTCCTTATGGATAACCTACTCAAAATTTTGTCTAATGCAGACTCTTTTATAATAATAGTAGAGAATCATTTGAAGATTGTCAGTATTTCATAAAACAAAGAAATTTATTCTGAATTTAAGTTATATCTTAGGAGAGAACAAAAACTGAACCGAAATTAACAGAATTGAAAAAAAGAAAAATACGGACACACATACCTTTAGGTAAATGACACTTTTTGGGTAAAGAACCTCTCTTTGAAAAGGAAGGTAGAGACCAAGTATTATATCTAGATTATTCTTATTTATCTATCATATCCCATTTATCTTAACATCAAAACTACTGTCAATGACACTCCTTAGCAAAGGACAAAAAAAGGTTACTCCTCCTCTCTCACATTTACATAAAAAAAAATCAGTAGAAGAGAACTGACAGCTGATGAATGCAGAGCTCTTCATCCATTTTCTATAAAGTACTACAAGGCACTGTCACCCCAACAGCAAACTTAGGGCTAATAAAGCTATCTTCTGCACACAGAGATTTTTTTTTTTTTTGGTGAGGAAGATTGGCCCTGAGCTAACATCTATTCCCAATCTTCCTCTTTTTGCTTGAGGAAGACTGTCTCTGAGCTAACATCTGCGCCAACCTTCCGCTATTTTCTACGTGGGATGCCGCCACAGCATGGCTTGATGAGCAAGCAGTGTGTAGGTCTGTGACCTGGGATCTGAACCCAAGAACCCGGGGCCACCAAAGCAGAGTGCACAAACTTAACCACTATGCCACTGGGCTGGCCCCAGTTCTCTTATAATTAAAATACAAATCTCAATTCCAGGGGAAGGCCAAAAAGCAACATGGCTTACAAATGGTCCTTACTGATTTATTACCTTCAAGGGGCTTAACAATTTGTAATTTTTCAGGCATAAAACCTCGAAGGCAACTGGCACTGCTGAGGTCTGTGGTCTCCGACTGGTCGGTGTAGAGAGAGGCAAGGCTCTCGGTGGGGGTGCCACAGCCACTAGTCCCTTCCTTCTGGTCAGCCAGAACCTGGATCTTCCGCTCCCATTCTTCAGCAAAGAACTGCTTCTCACTTAAGTAGTTCTGTCGCCGCAGACTGAGGCGATGCAGCGCTGTAGCCACATCACTGTCTTCAGAGGGTCCTGGCTGACCCGTCTTCTCAACATTCCTATGGGAAAAGCACATTCACTGACTAGATCTGTAAGGGTCATGAGCACAACCTAGACCTCTCCTTTCCACAATGGTGAATGTTCAAGAGACTGATCTTAAAAACACAGTATTTTTTCCTTGATATCTGGAATACAAAAATAGTAACAACAAACCAAAATCACTAATACTATATATCATTTTTACAGATCATTTCAAGTGATTTCAGACAGGCAAAAAAATACTTTATTATGTGTATTCACTGACTTTTCTATTTCACTTAATTTATGAAACCACAGATCTGACTATAAATTCAGCTTAGGTAGTAAAAAGTAAATATTATCATATTTCACTGAATCTATATTACCACTGACTGCAAGAGGTACCATTATTTAATGTACTACTAACACAGAAAAAAATGCTACCCATTAAACTATGACATGCCATTAGCTGCAAAACAAAAACAATTTAAAAAATATTAAAATGTGAAAAAATTTGCTTTGGGCCATAGAATCCTCTAGAAATATTGTAGAACATTTAACAGAACACAACAATAACAGTAAATACTGCATTTTCATAGCTCTGCAACACACATTTTGTGACTTTTGAACATGTTTGAAATTGGAGGTATCTTATAACTGATATCAAAAGAAAGTGTAGCAAGCTGAACTGTAGTTGCTCCAGACTACTACGTGTGAATTCACAGGGTCTGTCTGTTAAATCTTCTCCTAAGGTAATTGTGTACAATGAGGCAGTATTGACACACAAAGCTACTGTGGGTGCAGAACCTGTCCACTACAGACCAGGCAATATAATCAAAAACCCAGGGTGATGGATTTCTGCATTAGGAAAAATTTCTCTTAGGTGCCAAACATCTATCTTCCAAAAGCTTTCGGCTGACTTTCTAGTAATGCTGTTTAATTTCTAATTATATGTAATTCAACGAACCGAATTAATAGAAAGCAGAAAAAAATCTAAGTTTAATCAAATAGGAAATTAAGAGCAACCTAGTTTTCCTCAATAGGTATTCAAGCATATTGTTTATCCTAAAGGTACCAAAAGCAGTTGAGATTATGAGCATGGCTTATGAGAAAGTGTCATCTGAGGCTATGTATAACTGCCAATGACCACACAGATGCAAACAAATTTTGACTCTGAACACAAAGAAGATTTAGACTCAAACTTTGCCACACCGAAGAAGAAAAGCAGTAAATAATTTTATAGTTCAATGCAAGCTCCATTTTGAATACACCTAATTAAATGTAGCTTTTTCATTCTAAAAACTTTTATGAAATCGATGCTGTCTCTTACAAATAATGATACAGGGCATCATTACTGAATGAAACTGACAGTTCCAGAACTTCCCTGGACAGCACAGAGCAGGGCTGGAATTTGAGCATGTGAATCTGGCATGTCAATGCACAAGAAACACAGAATCACTGCCGTGATCTAGGTTTCTTACCCTGGAACCTCCTCCGAGTTGCTCCCCTGGTGCAGGAGTGTTTTGTCCTCTGTTTGTTGTAAACCAGACTCAAAAGGCTTTGCTGTCATGATGACACTGGAATGGTTGGAGCCTGGAATGGGTAGCAGAGCTGGGAATGGGACAGAGCGACCCCGCGTGTCATTGGCAACCCGGACAGTATCAAATACCCGCTTCTGTTGGGCTCTGTCAAAAAAGAAGTGTTCATTATTGCGACTGCCTACCAGTGGAATGCTCTAGAAAAGAGACATGTGTGTGTAGTTCATTAAAAATAAAGCCACCCAAAATAGCTTCTAAAGCTTAGGAGAAAGTATTAGAAAATAAACTTCAGAACAAGAGGACACTCTCACAACTGTGAGCACTATGAACAAAAAACTGATTTACTACTGAAGTAAGCAGATTTACTACTGAGTCTTATAACTCCTATCACCGTGGAGAGTGGCTTCTTTTTAATTTCCATCCTGACAACTGGGTGACAACACCTGTGATCTGTACTCACTTTTGTTCAAAGAGAGAAGATTCCTCATCCAAACTCAGCTTCTTACGCATGGTCCCCTCAATCTCGGCTGCCAGGGATTCCTAAGAAAGAGAGTTTGAGATCTCTATGGTGATTATGTAAGAAGCCTGTCAGGAGAAATGAACTGTCTTTAAATTAAGTATCAGAGTCTCTAGAATCCAATAATTTTGGTGTTATAATGAAAGAAAACACAAGAAAACAGTCACAGGCTAAAATGCAGGGGAAAAAAGGACTTTCTGGAAATGTAACTTTTAAACAAGAACCAACTACTTTTTCATGATATATTTTTACAGGAAAGCAGTGGAAAAAACCAATATGATCAATAGAAATATTACACGTGCAGATACAAAAAAATAAAAGGTCTGAAAGGCTATAAACCGAGATGTTAATAGTGATTCTGTGGAGGCCAGGTATTTAACAATTTCTTTTTGCTTCTCTGTAATTTCTAACTTTTCTATAATAAATATGTATAGCTTTTATAATACAGAAAACTCATTAAGAGAAAAATAAGCAGGCTTCCCCTTCCCCTGGTCTCCCAGGGGTGAGTATTCAACCAGCCTGGGTGGCATGCTCAATGGGGCCGAGCTGACAATGGCAGGAACTGGAGGTGGTCTGGTGCGAACTCATGAGTTTAAATATATGTAGATGGATACATGAACATAAATGTGAATGGAAATATAGATACAGATGTGTTTCTGTGGCTGTACGTACGAACATATACATATTTCCTAGCTCTATCTGCCAAGAGGGCATGGAAGCAATGACACTCTAGTGGCAAGAGACACACAGCACCTAGATCTTGGATTCTGAATATCATTCCTCATTAAAACTAACCAGAACTCCTTGGAGAAATGGCTGATTCCAGGACTAGGACAGAGAAAGAACAAGAGGAGTTTGAAGGAGATCCCACTGGCCACATCTGGGACAATTTAAGTATCAAAATAAAAAACAGTCATAGATTATAACCCATCAACTAAAATAGGAATCTATGAATCTGCACTGACATAACTAAATGAAAAAATAAATGAGACAGAAAAGCTCTAACTTACAAAAGAATGCCAATTAATAAAGGTTGAAAAAATGATGGAATTAGAAAATCACCGTCTGGCAATCATCACAGTAACAACTGAGTCAGACATGAACCATCAATGGGGGCTGAAACTAGCGGGCAAAAGTGTGATGAGGAACAGGATATTTAACAGTCTCCAAGTATCTTCCCACAAAACAGTAACTTGGATCACCTGGTTAAGGTAGTATCCGCCAATGTTCATTACTGCAAAGTTAATCAGCAACATTAATTTAATTAACTATTAATTAACACTGATTAACTTTACCGTGGAAAACATTGGCAGATACTACCTATTAACCAAGAGATCAAAGTTAATTAACATCATCAGTAATGGGATAAATAGACAATGTGCACCTCCTGATACAATGTACTGAGAAGAACATGGCATTACTTCTGCCAAAAATACATTATCTGAATCTAATCATAAGGAAACACGAGACAAACCAAAACGGAAGACATTCTACAAAGGTCATGAAAAACAAGCAAAGACAACTGTCCCATGTTGAAACACCCAACACAATGTATCCTTCAAAGGACACTGTTGGGACAACTGGCAAAATTTAAATGGGCTCTGTGGATGAGATGATAGTGTTGTATCAATGTCCATTTCCTGACGCTGATGGTTGTAGTGTGGTTATACAGGAGAGTGTCCTTGTTTTCAGTAAATACACACTGAAGTATTAAGGGGATTAAGGGGTAATAGAGTATATCTGCAACTTACTGTTAAATGGTCCAGAAAAAAAAAAAAGGGAACAATATGGCAAATATAGTAAAATGTTAAAAATAGAGGAATCTAGGTGAAGTATATATGAGAGTTTTTTGTACTATTGTTGGAACGTTATTCTAAGTTTAAAATTATTTTAAAACAAAAAGTTAAAAAACAAAACTTCTGCCTCCATATTCTTCAGAATATCTACTAAAACTTATAGTTTCAGTCTTTTAAAAAATATCACATGCTTGCATGTAAGTGTTTAAGAATAAGATTATTAAAATAACTCTTTGAACCAACATTACAAATTTTGGCATAAACTCAGAAGTTGTTATTAATTGCTTTAATTCAAAAAATATTGTTTATTGATGAATTAAATAAACATGATTCCTGCCCTTATGGGGCTTACATTCTAAGTGGAGTTAAATATACCAAGAAACTCAAGATCTATTGACAGAGGTTTTAGATGTTCAGAGCACTATTTGAATAAGTGGCATGTGGTGGGCCTAGAGTAAGGATGACCCACATTTAAGTAGCTTTATGGTACCTAGACCTAAACCTAATTTCCTCAGGGTTCATCTATTACAGTCAATCTGAAAGGTCATCTGTTAGAAGGAAGTCTACGATAAGTAAGAGTATTCACGTAGATGTAGATATGGAAATTCAGGCCTAAATCAATAAGTGAATTCCAGAAACAAGGACAAACCATGTTATCTCTTCTCAATCTTTATACCATCAGAAACCATAACACTCTCAGGACAATCTAATCTTAAACAAGTTTCCTTAAATATATGACATCCTTCTCAGTTCCTTACCCCAGAAAAACCTCCACATGACTGGGAGAAGTAGAGATGAGCAGCAGGGCCAGATCTACTACGAAGTTCCTTTATTTCTTCTTGGGATTCATGTAACATTCCCAGACACTCCATATTCCTCTCTTGTAACTCATGCAGCTAAAAGAAGGGATGTTACGTAATTAGTGTACTTTATTATATTCTCAAAACGACAATGGGGGGAAAAAACCCAGTGGGATAAGTATTAATTTTACCTAGAGGGCTAGCTATCTTTATGAATGTAATTTCAATACAAAAACTCTGAAACAAACTAATCAAGGAGAGTTTATATATTTCAAGCTGCCAGAATTACATGTGTCTTGGCCAGAATGATACATAAAGATGATTTCCTAAAAATGTGAAATGTAGCTGAGACAATCATAACTGTTAATTCAATATTTAATGCTTCATACCCTTAAAAAAACTTACAAAGGAAGTATAATAGCTGTGGTCAAGATAGGTTTAGCATAATGTTAGATATGTATATTTTTAAACATCACTCTGAAGTCTGTAAATGACAAGATCAAGTCTATGAAGTATTGTAAATGACGTCAGGGTGCTCCATCACCCTAAACAAGTAGTTTCTTCTCCCTTGTTTCAGATCTTCTTTATAGTTAGATACACAAGCATGGTAAAAGAGTACATAATTTTTGGAGTACATTTTAACTTCAATTTCTTCAAGTATGGGATGTGAACTGGATCATCAGCATCACCAAGGCTGGGGATGCTTAGTAAAAATGCAGATTCTAGGCCCTTACTCTAGACCCCACTCACTTAGAAACCTTTGGGGACGGTGTCTGGGAATCTCCATTTAAAACTCATTTTGTCAAGTGATTCTTATGCATGCTAAGGAAGCACTAAAGTATATTTAACATATAGAATTTTTATGTAGGTAGAAAGTAAGAGATTTCTGTTATTTCTCCTGACATATCTGCAAAAACACTTATTAGAAATTATCTTACTTTAAAAACTGTTGGGTTAGTTCAGGTAAACTGGTAAAAGGGTCACATATTCCTAAAGACTCTTATAAAAGTCGAAGTTTTCTCTATTAATTAAGAAGGATGCTGTCGTGTTATTAGTTTTAGAGACAGAATTTTTTAAATGCTTTCCTTCTTAGATCTCATAATTTCATCTTAATATTCTTTTGTTGTTTTAAATTTGGTAATCACCTTTAATCATTCTTATTCACAAGATGAAAGAAACTATCCATTCCTCCCCTCCCACAGTATTATATAAGATAAAGGAAGATTTCATTACCTCCATTGTCAGTTGTCTTTGGGCATCTTTGGAAGCATGTAGATGAAGTCTCAGTTCTTCCTTCTCAATCACATGCTAACAACATATTAAAAGAGACATGTGACGCCTTCTCATATAAAATACAGCCTACTCTCTCTCTTTTTAAGACACCTTAGGAGTGTCTCTCAGGGGTATAATCTAGAGGCCTATAAAAAGCTAACCTTACAAAATCCAAATAAGAGCAACAAAATGGGCAGAATACAAAATCCATCAAGGTGTTCAGAGGACAATGAGCATGAGTCAATAATTCACATCACAACTTTCTGAGGAAACTCTAACTCCATTTTACTGAGAGAAATAGTGACTTGAAAGTCATTATTCATGATATTTCGTGATAGCAGACTAAAACAGCAATCACATTAAAGCACTGTAAGAGGGCAGGGACTGTGTTCATTTTGCTTAATGTGTCTATCACTTAGCAGAGTGCACAAAGCTAGGTCAGTGCTTCAGCAAACATCTGCTGAACAACTGAATGAACCGACCTCTTTAAGTTTGTGCTGAAGATCTACAATCTGAGACAAGAGAGAGGAGATCTCTTCTTGGTATCGAATCAGTTCATCACTCTTCCCAGACAATTCTTCAGTCATTCTGGACATCTCAGCATTTGTTTCACCTTGGAAACAAAATAAAAATTTAAAAATTAATATAAATGGTAGGGTAGGGGTTGGCAAACGATGACCTGTGCGCCAAATCCTGTTTCATAACAAGCACTAGACTATCACAAATAGATTTTTCTTTAAGATAAATTTTAAAAATAAACCCAGATAACGCAACAGAGAAAAATAAAGGTTCTTCTGAAATAGGCTAATGCTGGGAATTAAATAGGAGGCAATGAAGCTACAAAAAGGCAAGCAAACTAAAGGTTTCTGCCTCAATCTTTTTCTTTATGAAGGACAAGAAGGCTGAAAAGAGATATGTGAATTATATATTTTTGCAAGCGACAAGAAATAATCTCATTAATGTCTTTGATAACTCCTCAGGGATGTAAATAAAATCCCACAAGCAATGAAAATTAAACTTAACAAATCTAACAAAGGAACACTTCTGAAATGGAACAGTCACAATCTGTTAAAGCTACTGAGATGCTTCTGTAGGAGAGAGACTTTTTGGGATACCTAGCAGACTGAGCAGGGCCTCTAAAGCAATTCTTACAACCCAGCATTCTTGCATGTGCATGAAATAGAACCTCTAGAATTCTACTGGGGAAATAAATCTTTATTTCATAATAAAAACTTTGACTTCTAAACATAAGTGGCAAAACTATTTTTCAGTATCATATAAAATTATTTTAACATTGACAGAAAGCTCATAATATTTCAAAGGATGGCAATAAGGAGGCAGAAGACCAGGATCTAAGCTCTTGGGCAAGTCATTTCTTCTTTGTTTTTTAAAGTGTAAAAGGTGGGTAATGATAGTGCTGATGGAGAAGATTCAATTTACATTCCCTCCGGTTCTCTAATATTCTGTTATTCTAAGGCATAACATTCTGAGGCTGATAGCCCATATGAATTGATATAAAGTTATCATATCTTCTCTTTCAACATAAAAGGCTATATATTTGTAGAAAAATTAAATATCTATTTCTAGTAAAGCTGATCTTCTTTTTTTTTTGGTGAGCAAGATCGGCCCTCAGCTAACATCTGTTGCCAATCTTCCTCTTTTTGCTGAGGAAGATTAGCCCTGAGCTAACATCTGTGTCCATCTTCCTCTATTTTGTATATGGGATGCCGCCATAGCACGGCTTGATGAGCAGTGTGTAGGTCCCTGCCCGGGATCCAAACCTGCGAACCCTGGGCCGCCGAAGCAGAGTGCACAAACTTAACCACTACGCCACCGGGCCAGCCCCAAAGCCGATCTTTTCTAATTGATTTATTTTTTAAAATTATTTTAGTTAACAATAACCGAATATACCGAATATATTTCGTCAAACCGAAATATATTCCTTCATAAGCACATAGTTGGCACTTAATAAATACTCATTGAATGTTAGGTTTTATGCCATCATTTAAGCCCTGGCTCTGCCACTTATCAGCTTTCTGATTTTGGCAAATCATATTCTCTACAGGACTATTTCCTCACCAACAAAATAAGAGCTTTGGCTCCTTTCACTCTAACTTGCTATAACTGATAGAAATACAGGTCTTTATTTAATGACGACAGCACTTTAAATCAAAGATATTCTTAAACGTACATATGGTACTTTATTTAGGGTTGTAGGCTCAATGTGATATTCTAAGATTTTCAGTAACTATTTAAAATCGTTTCTTGAGATGCTTCTACCGGAACCATTGATCTAATTTCTGAGTTGGTGATATTCTACCAAATAACTGTACAAAGGCTACGAACGAGAACACATTAATACTTACGAAGTTCTTTAACACAGTCACTGACAAGCTGTTGTTCCTTCTCTTCATAGGTAATGGTTTCTGTCTTTATGTGACAAGCCTTCAAGAAAAAAAAATATCAGTACGTGATGATATGGTCTAATGATTTTATAGTATTAACTAAAAGTACCCTTTAACTCTCCTTTGACGATAAAAGTTCATTACTTACAAAGGAAAGAAAAACCCATAAAGCTTTATCCACCATAAAATAAAGTAAGAAAAAGGACATGACAGACATTTCTCTCCTCCTTCTCCTCAGGACCTTTGCATATGCCTACTTATCCCCCTGGCCCCTTTCCTCCACCATACATCTCTGCCTTGCTAATCCCCAGCCTCAGCTAAAATGTCACTTGCTTAAGTAGGATTTCTTTGATTTCTACCCCCGAGCTCACAAAACCTTGTAATTTTCCAATATTGTTCTTACCACAGCTGTAATTATTTGTGTAAACTCCACAAGATATATATTCTATGCTGTGGCTTTCTCTATTTCATCTGTCAGCTTGCTATTATCCACTTTTTAGTGAGATCTCAGTAACAACGGGAGGCATATACATGTGCCTTGGCTGTCACCCCCTCATTGGGATGTCAAGAGCAAATCCTTAGTAACGCCATATTTCACCTCAATACTACCTGGACCTAAACCTTATAGCCTTTAAAGTAAAGGAAAGTGGGAATTAGGTTGAATGTACCTTGGATCGAAGAGCCATATTCTCTTCTTCCAGTTCCTTGAGCTTTTCCTGCAGCATGTCCAGCTGCAGCAAACCTTGAGATAAGCTAAAGGACTCATTGAACCGAAGAGGAGTAGAACAGCTGGAATCAGTCTCACTCTCTTCAGAAGCAATGGAGACAATTCGAAGTAACTCATCTTTCTTGGACAGCTCATGCTGCAGCTGATTAACCTGCACATCGACAGCACTTGATTCACAAAATGTTCCTTATTTTGCATTATTTACATGCAATATAGCTTTTAACTCATGGAGCAATTGTTTCTCACCATAAAACAAAATCATAAAGCCAGATGCTAGATTTTACTGACTAAAGTAACAAGTGCTAAAAAAGAGAACAAACCTCAGACACTTCCTAAGCTATAATTTTAGAGCATTAACCAACAATACAGCTTTTTCTATACTAGGTGAAAAGAAAATCCAATTTTCATGGTCTATATAATAGGAATATAGGAGGAAAATTTCACATAAGATAACGATACATTCAGAGTTAAAAGCAAAGCAAAACTGAAGAACTTTCAAAGTATCAGAATAGACACCTACTTTAAATTCTCACCCCAAAGACTCGCACTTTTAAGCTCTAGAACTCTATATGACTTCCTAACTTTAGTTCTAGGGAATAAATATTTTCAATGCAAAGTTTCAAATGGTATTAAACATAATGCATTTATAAAATATAAATGAAACCAGATAATAACAAATTACAGAAAATTTTAAATGTAACCATTCAAGTTAATAAATCAGATCTTGCTAAAAATATTTGCTATGGAATAAATATATTTCATAAATTTCTTTTCCTTTTCTCCTTTCATTTGGGTTTTTGCATAAAGATACTTCATTTGGGTATCTATTGTTTGGGTATAAATTTTTTAAAAATAAACTTAAGATAAGATCACACACAAAGTCTACACAAAGGGGTGAGGATAGAGTCGAATCTAAGCAGGGTACCACGAGTGTCGTAGCTACTACCATGGGCTTTTATATCGATTAAGGTGGAATCGCACAAGCACTCCTCTGTAGATAACACTTCATTTCTCTACTGGTTAGTTCAACAGTTGCCAACAAAGTCAACATGTACTGGTGTTATTTACCTATCTATTGTCATCACTTTGGGGACACCCAGGAAAACAAATTTCTCCATTGTCCTAGACCTAATTATTTCATGCTGCAAATACCTGATCAAAGACTTACTTGATCAAAGGCTTGTCCCAGTTGCTCCTCCAGGGCTTCATTTTGCTCAGACAAGACATGGTTCCGCTTTAAGAGAGCCTGTCCAATTCGAGCAGCTAGCTCCAGATCACGATCCCTCTGTTAAAATATCAAATACATCTTTCAAGTACAAACAAAATTAAATGGTAGTTTAGAAACTTTGCATTCAATTTTGCTAAACTCAAAAGCAATGTCCTAGAAAGTATCAAGTTCCATTTTAATGCCCAGATTCGACAAATGAACACAGGGCCTGGCACACAAGCGGTGTTTAACATATGTTGGTCAAATGAATGACTACCATAGTTACAAATGCAAGAGGGCATTTCTTTTCTTGATATCAAGTGAGATTTATCGATCACTCGATTAATTAGGATCCAGCAACTCAACCTTTAAACTTACAACTTTGTGGAATCAGAAAATCAATATACTCTTTTAATGAGGACAGGGCCTGGCACACAGTAAAAGCCCAACAAATATCTGTTGAATGCATTTGCCTATCAAGCATGGTAATGATACAGTAGGTATATTGAAAACAGTTCCAGTTAGGGCAAAGCTTATATGCATCCAGAGACAGAGGCTTAGAGGAAAGCATAATCAAGAGCCCTATTGTTAACTGGTGCAAAAATGATGACGTGAAATAAAATAGGGGATAACAGACTGAAGTTTTGAATGCAGGGAGGCCTATAGAAAAGCTAAGCAAGGCAAGAGTTACTCTTTCCGGGTAGATGGTGATACTTAGCAAGGGCACAGGAATCTCATGTACATGGTGGTGGTGAGGATTGTATTCTGTAAAACGGAAAACTGTCAATATATATCTAACTGCCTTATATATGAGCATGGGTTCCACTTACATTAATCACTACAAATAAAATAAAGCTTCTATCTTTCTACTCCATAGCATGTGAAAACAGATAGATGGATTATCTCCAAATTTTCAAGGCCCACTTAGCTCATTTTCGATATAGGCTAAGTGGCATACACAAAATCAATATGAGGAGCTGGGGGGAGAGGGGAGAAGGGTACTTCAAAGAGAAAGACAGTTTCAGTAAGATCAGCTGAATTTGAAGTGTAAGTAGAGACCTCTAAGACTACCAATTAATAGAGATACACTATACATACTAAAAATGTCACGGACAAAGTGAGCTCAAATAATAGCCCAAACCGAAAGGGAAAAAGAGAAGATGCTCCAAACTGCTGGTGTTGATTTGCAATGGAGCTGCTTCTTGAATGGGCAGCTCTGCTCCAGGTTCAGTAACAGCAAAGATTTATTAAAAAAAATTTTTTTCCCCCCTTTTTCTCCCCAAAGCCCCAGTAGATAGCTGTATGTCACAGTCGCACATCCTTCTAATTCCTGTATGTGGGACACCGCCTCAGCATGGCCGGGCAGCGCGTCGGTGCATGCCCTGACTCCGAACCCGGGCCGCCAGTAGCGGAGCACACGCACCCAACCGCCAAGCCACGGGGCTGGCCCCTTAAAAAAATTTTTTTCTTAAGATTGCTTTTCTAGGACAGGGAAGCCAGCCGGCACCACTATAACAACAACAAATTAAACTCTCTACAACTTCCTAACAACAAACTTCAGGAACCATTCTACTTCGGAATGCCAGTGCATGTCAGTTGTTCAGCTGTAACAACCTTATACAAAATAACCCAGAGCAAAGACATCATCATTTTTCATTTGATGTGCAAAATTTGATAGATTCTAAATGATCCTTAAGTTTTAGCTTTTTGTACTGAAGAAAGAAAAGATATATTCCTACCTCTGCCAGAAGATGTGTAACCATGTCGATGTCATTGTAAGTTTTGGTCATCTGCTCCACCCTGTCTGTGCCTAGAACTAAGACAGTTAAAAACAACTGTTTATAAGATTAAAAAAACACCAGAAAGTTTTAAATATTCATTGAATTGAAAGATAACAACAACAACAACAAACCCAGACTTTTACAAAAAGCCATTCAGGAGAATAAAAATATATGTGAAAAAAGAAAAGAAATGTTTCATGTATTAGACACTCAGGAAATAGACCAATTATTACAAACAAAATGTCCATCATACAGTGAACTAAGAAAGTATCAAATGATCACAAGGAAGTTACCTCCTGACTATCTCTGCCTCCCTCGGTAAGATTAGAATTTTGGCCCACTCACACTAGAGAATGTGGGCCTGGAGAATGGATTACATTGCCAGTTGGTTTATATCCTAATCTAAATTAAAGTTACTGAATGCTGAGTTAGTGAGGGGTTTTGCTATTACAAAGGAATTCATTTAGAATTCTGTTGTGATTGTCTTGAACATCTATGATCACCTACCATGTGAGCTAATATCAGTACACAAAGAATGGGACTTGTAGGACTTTTTGTAGCTCTGTTATGAACTATAATCCTTTTTAGCTTAATTGAGCTAAAATTAAGCTCAAGTTTTTAATTAAAAACCCTTTTTCTTTATGATAATCTTCATCATATCTAGGCCTTTGCTATAAAATAAATTGTATACTATACAGTTGGTCGAATCCACAGATACGAAACCCATAGACATGGAGGGCCAACTGTATATTCATTGTACTGCGCCATTTTATAGTATAAGGGATTTGAGCATCCTTGGATTTTGGTATCCATGGGGATTCCTGGAGCCAATCTCCCACAGATATTGAGGGACAACTATACTATTACTTGCATAATTCAAGCCCAGTATTTCTGCACTTCATAAACTGAGGAACTGCCAAGGCACTTGGATAATTTAGCCCCAAAGAGGACAAATATGACCCCAAAGATTCCAGTCACAATCAACAGTATCTTTTTAAGCTAATGATGTTTAATAAAAGAGGGATCTTTTTTTTTTTATTGCGGTAACATTGGTTTATAACATTGTATAAAGTTCAGGTGCACATCATTATACTTCTATTTCTGCATAGATTACATCATGTTCACCGCCTAAATACTAATTACAATCCATCACTACACACACGTGCCTAACCATAAAGGGATCTTTTCACTGGGGTACATTTCATGATACAGATTTATGTTTGACTTAGATTGATTTTATAACTATTTTGTCTTGAAGAAAAAACAGAGACTTGGAGGCAGAAAAGCTGAAAAGTGGAGTGTTATCACCCCCATTACGGAACCTGACTCTTAGAAGGGCCATATTTATAATATGGAGGTGATAACACTCATCTCACAAGGTCATGAGGACGTTCAATTATGATAATCTACTGAGCAGTATTCAGTAAACTGCTAACTATCATACAACTGTTTACAGATGTTCCTCTTCAGACACAACTGGTATATATGAAACAGCTCTGATTTTAAATTCTCTGTAAATAATTCACTGAGTTGGCAGTAGATACTATGATGTAAGTCATTTGTAGTTTCTCAGTCCCATCTCAACACTTGAGGTTGCCCGAAAGACACTATTAGACATGTTTCACTTTTTATCTGAGCTTTTAATTTTTCTTCCTAGCATCACTGCTTAAAATGAATCTGGGAATTACTCAGGGATTAATTATTAATGATAGTCTTATTCCTAGTTCAAAGTAAAATAAAAGTGCTGGGTTGATGGTATTAGGAGATAGCTAAAAAAGTTTTAAACTGAATATAATTAAAAAAAAAAAAAAACAAAACACCAAAACCTGGAAAGAAACATTTTTACTCCAAAGGAATTTATATTTACAAGTAGAGAAACTAGCCCCATAATTTAATCACGGGGCCAAGGGAAACAGGCTTGTGGGCCTAACGCATCTTCACAACTGAACGTGGTAGCATAGCAGGAAAAAAGGATTAAAAAATAAGGTAGATACAGGATGTGGTCTTTTCTACTTCTGGTCTCCATATAGTCATGTGCCGCATAATGATGTTTCGGTCAAAGGTGGACTGCATACATGACCATGGTCCCATAAGATGAGTACCTTATAGCCTAAGTGTGTAGTAGGCTGTACTATCTAGGTTTGTGTAAGTACACTCTATGATGTTCACACAACAATAAAATCGCCTAACGACACATTTCTCAGAACGTATTCCCATCATTAAACAATGCATGACTGTAATAAGATGAGGGAAAATAAATCACATCAATATATCTATGCTCTAAACTAGTTACAAGAAAACCAGCCAATGGTTGCACAACCAAATGTAAACTAGGGCAGTGGGTCTCAACTCCAGATTCTCATTTAACTAATTTGGAGGTGCCCCAGGGCACAGGTAGTAAGTAAAAGATGCCCAGGTGTTCTGATGTGGAGCTAGGGATGAAAACCAGATCCAGCATTAACACTCAAAGCAAGAACCAGGAATCCTGGAAACTCAGTCAAAAACAGTTTTTACACAACTGATTTAAAAAATACATGACACGGCTTATATTACATGGCCGACCAGAAGTCAAACTAGTAAGTTAAGGTTGTAATGAATAGCTGTGAGCTACAAGTCACACATGATGAAAGGGGAAGAGAAAATGAAGGATACAGTAACACAGAAAAGAAGTAAAACATGTTTTAGTAGGAGAAACTAAAACATATTTCCTATAAATGCTTACCGCCTGTCATGATCTGAGAATTTAAAGCTGAACCTTAAGAAGTTATCTAATTTAATGATCTCATTTTCTTGTATGAGGAACCTTGACTGAGAAGACTTACATGACATGGCCAAGACCACAAGCAAGCTATTAGTGGCAAAGCCAGGATAATAATGAGGTGAAAACAACCCCTATCACAGAAGGTCTTAAGAAAAAACTTAGGCCTAAGCATTCCCAGTAATGGGCTCTTTGTACAGTGCTGCTGTTTCTACCACAGCCCCACTAAGAACATCAAAAGGCCTTTACTTGGTGAAATACTATAGTATCCATCTGTGAACCCACGTTACAAAACAGCATAGATCCCAACTTTGTTTTTTAAAGTATGTGCATATCTATATATGTCTATACACAAGTGAGGCTGGAAGGATATACATTAAAATGTTAACAGTGGTTATCTCTGGGTAAGGATTATGGTTATCAGCTATTTTCTTTTCAGTTTTTTGCTAATTTTCCATGAAGAACAAATGTTATCTTTGCAATTAAAAAATAGCAGCTCTTGCTAAGTGGTTCCAAAAAGCAAAAATGAATTTTAGAATGCTTAAATATGTGTTATTATGGCAAAGAAGTTAGATAATGCAACGAGAATTCTTAGATTCTTATATTTTATGTGAAACAGTCTATAAACTACCAAGCCCCAAAGGCTGGGGCACCAGGGGCAGAGTTGCTCAATTGAGTCAGTCAGTCACAAAGCAGACAGGAACACAATGGATTCCTCTCTGCAGCCTAATCAGTTCTGTCTCCTCTTCCTTATCACAATACTCCTGATACAGACATGCGCTTGGGATGACTCCAAAAGTAGTCGGGGCAAAGCTCTTAAGTGTTCTCTTGGCATCTGGACATTGTGATTAAATGCTTCTAAAGCCATAGACTAATTCTTCCCTGGAATTCTGTAACCAAGAATGCAGAGATGGCCAAGCAGGCTGACTTTATTATAATTAATCCTATCAAATTATATTTTCCCTTCAGTTCTCAGCTGTTAAAATTAAAATGTTAAATGGTACAGAAATTAGCAATGCTTCATGTTTGTTTCTAGACAGGAACTTCCCTAACTCTCTAAAAAGAAACTTATACATCAGGGAGATGATAAACTTATAAAAAAATTTTTTATTGTGGTATAATTGACATATAGATAAACATTTTTACAGAACAATTTGCAACTTGGTTTCCGAAGGTTGTTAATTAATGTTCAACATTTTTGGTGTAACATTTGAAGGCTCTAATGTTTCTGAAAAAATATGGGGGGGTAATATACATAAGCACTTCACTAATTCTTACTTTATGTTCTAACTCTGCATAACTTTACATCAACTACTCCAATCTCACATTTTTTCAGGATGGGAAATGCCAATGTCAATCCATTTTGATATCTTTGTCATTTATATGAGATGGTGCTTGATAGTTCTTTCAAATGTCCCTTTTCAAGATCTAGAGTTTTTACCACACTCAATTTTAAAAAGACTACTAATTGTCATTACACTCCAACCTTCCTACACCAAAAAACAAAGCCAAAACAACAACAGCAAAAGAAACGAAACACAAGCACTGCCCACGTGGCATATAGCAAAAGCTGCCACAGCTCCTGACAACTACAGACAGGTCTTGAGGTTTTAACTCCAAAGAAGTGACGGCAGCTCTTGCTGCTATAATATAGAGATCTCTACAATACCAAAAACTGCCTTCAATAGAACTGAGACAGAACAAAAAGAAGGAGAATGATGATATATACTATCTAGGGCAGCCTTTCTCAACAGGGTTCCAGGGGACAATTAAGCCTTACATGTAGGTGATGATTTGGGTGACAATTTTCTCAGTTCTCCCAAGGATAATACTTAGCCAGTACATGACACATAGGCGATAAGGTCATCCAGTATACGATAGGTGTCTCAGGACAGATGGCTTAATTCTTTTGTGGAATTGGTTGAGAGGGCTGATCTGAGGAATTCTAAATCTGCTTACCTCTATGATCTGACCATGGTTAATACTTCATGAACATTATCAGTTATATTTCCTCTCCAGCCAATAAAGGTCAATGACTTTTTTTGTGTGTATATGAGGAAGATTAGCTCTGAGCTAACATCTGTTGCCAATCCTCCTCTTTTTTGCTGAGGAAGATTGGCCCTTGGCTAACATCCATGCCCTTCTTTCTCTATTTTTTATGGGATGCCGCTACAGCATGGCTTGATGAGCGGTGGGTGCGTAGGTCCACGCCCGGGATCTGAATCTGTGAACCTCGGGTTGCTAAAGTGGAGCGTGCGAACTTAACCACTACACCACTGGGCTGGCCCCCAAGGCCAATGATTTTTGAGGGTAGAGCTTGAAGAAAAGCATAACTACCAATCAGAAATAATAATTACTACAACTGTATTTCTCTGCAAAATTGTACATTCTCCCTAATTCCTTAAATTCTCTAATTAATGTCACTGTGAAATGACCATTTAGCTTTGGGTGACAAAACTTTATATCAGTGGGTCTCAAATCTGAGTATGATCAGTACTATTAGGAGGACTTGTTAAAACACAGACTGCAGTGCCACACCCCCAGAGTTTCTGATTCTAAAGATCTGGGGGTGGGCCCGAGAACCTGCATTTCTAACCAGTTCCCAAGTGATGTTGATGCCTTAAATAAAACTTATATAACCAATCATTTTCCCCCCTTTTTTTCTTACAGATTAGGAAGTAGTACAGGTGATCCTTCACCCCCCCGACCCACAAAACATCCTGAAAGGCAGATCAGGTTTCTATTTTTACTCTTCACTGCTCACCCTAATGCTCACTCTGGGTCTCATTCTTAATGAAATTAAGAAAACCCTGGAGTGACATGTTCTGCATGCAAAACATTCTTTGAGTATCTTACATTTTGTGTGTGTATGGCGGGGACTAGGATGGAATTATTTTTTTTGGACCTACCCAGTACTCTCAAGTGTTCTATTTTAAAAGTAAACAATCTCTTTCTGGCTTGGTGGGGGCTTCAGAGAACAACCAGTATCCTTTCATTCATGCGAGAGAGGCTCCCAATGCAAAACCCTGCTCATGCTTCCTTCCAAATTTATTTTCTTCTCACAGCTCTTTCAATTTCTTTATGTTATTGAAGAGAAAGTACCACTTCTTTTTATTAGCTGTTAAGTTCACTCTAATGAGCACCAGTGTCTACTGGTACGTGAGGGGAGCGGGGATAAGGAGGGGCTGAAGGAGCACAAGGGAGTGAACCGAGGATGGCTTGCCAGGTACTGAATAATTATTCAAAACCACAAATCTTGAAATCTCAAGGGGATAGAAAACTGTGGGAAAGGGTAAGAGAATGTTTTGTATCTTGCTTTTTAGAACCTTGGCCTATTCGCTAAATAGTAAATCACTTACCTTTTACATTCATAAGATGCAAATTCATAATGAAGTTTATTTATAGTTGTGTGAACTGTTAACCCAAAGAATTGATACCTTTAAAATAACAGTGACATTAAAGTACAACAAAGATAAAGTATAATGGACCAATTATAATCCCGGCCTATTTGCTTCATGGTCTTAGGTATATCATATATAGTTCCATTTTCATATTGTTGAAGTAGAACTAGTACCATTAGACTAAAGGAATAGGATAGTTTCCTAGAGCCTGGAAGTACGGATCTATATTATCCTAGTATCTGAAGTTTTAAATTGCTCCCCTGAACATTAGGGTTTGTTTTGCATAAAGTCCTAAAAACCAGGTATTTTAGAATTTGCTTATCTTTTATTTTCCAGTCTTTTTATTTAAAATTCATCCTAAAAGTAACTCCATTAAATCATGATCTAAGACATCTTCCTAGCTACAGTTCCACCCCTCAGTGGCCTGCAGGACAAAGAACTGGTAAACAAAGGCGCACTTTTTGTGCCACTTTATCAAAATAATGACAAACTAAATTTATCCTGATGAAATTTCAGTTTGAAATTTTCTTCTCATAAATCTAAAAACTTGTGGAACAAAGGGAAATGAAAATCAAAAACAGTGTTCCTTCTAAAAAGCATTTCCCAGAAAATCTCAAGCAAGGAACTTCTCAAACTAGAAAGTTAAGAAAACCTGAAGAGACTTAATTTAATATTCAACTATTTAAAAGAATTACTGAAGATAGAAATAAAGTTTGAGTTTTCTGATATTTCAATTCAAGTTTAAACAGTGTTTACAATTCTTTTTCTGAGCAGTTAAATAACCTGGTCCTAAGAAACTACTATTAAAAGCGAGTTACTGATTACTATGAAAATGAGTATTTCACAACAATCATTATCCAGCTACAATCTTTAAAAACACTGAAGCACTCACTGGGAAAATGTCTAGGTTCTGATGCAATCTCATATCTAATTCAAATGGAAAGAATTTCACAAAGACACCAGTGTTGAACTTGCAGACTTATTTATATATTCTAACATTTTTATAGTGAATGAATAAAAAAAGTAAGCTCAGCCTGAATGCAGATTTTTGGAATGAGGTCAAAAATAAAGAACCCTCCATACGTTAAACTTTAAAAATGTTCTATTTAATTTTGTCATTTCTAAGAGCTTGGTGTAAAACAGAGTTATTTTCAGGACGAATCTGGCTTAGCCTCTCACTGAAATATTCTCTATGAATCCTTAAGTAAATAATGAAGAGTACTCTACAGTGTGCACTTATTTCTCCTTGGCATTATTAAAACTACTCATGTATCCAAGAATCCAAGAAATACGCTTCTTATGACTGACAGTTCCTGTGACTGTGTTTAATAAGGAAAATAAGAGTCAAAAAGCTGATGGCTCAGGATATCAAACTATTGGGATAATAAGTGTTGAGAGATATAAAGGCATATTAAATTTTTAAATAATTTCACTACTTTTTTTTTAAAGTTCATTTTTCTACTCAGTCTGAGGAAAACATCAAGTAAAAGATGGGAGAAATGGAGACATGTGAGTATGCTTGCAACCCTGGACACTCAGAGTCATAAGAATGACAAATTTTAGCATCAGACATAACACAATTCGAATCATCTCTTCATGCAGTTAAATCAGTTCGAGTTAAACTCAGTACACACCGAACAATGGCTAGGGACGTCAAACGTTTTAAAAGTCAACACCAAGATATTCATGATCTTTATTTAAATGGACAAACTCTAAAGGGGTAAAAAATACTCACTCATATAACGGAAAGTCTCTTCAGCGAGGACTGGAGAGAGGGCATCAGATGCATGTTGCTGCTGGTGTGGGGAACGAGTCCAGTCTTGATTTTCATACAGGAAGAGAGAGTCCACTCTCAGCTTATACTGGGGTAGCTGTTCTTCCAGCAAACTCACCAGCTCAACTTCAGGGAGATCCTCATTGGAGCAGACATCTAAAGAGGAGACGCCACGTAAATGAATCTAATGTATTTCAATTTACTAGGCTACAGAGAAAAATTGGTGAAATTAGTTTTGCAAAAGTAGGATAATCAAAAAAACACGAGCCAAGATCATTTCTCCACTGATTTTTATTAATATATCCTGGTACTACAGTTGGTCTTTCTCTAGCTTTCTTTAATATGAGAACTTCTATAGTAAAAATAATACCATGAATTTTAATTGTACCCTATCTAAAAATATATTGCTTAGTGAACATAACTATGTTTTTAAGGTTTAAAATGAATTTAGACAAATTTTTTATTTCCTCCTTATCAATCTATTTAGCGCTGCTTAAAAGAGATCACATCTCAAATAACTTATATGCTTGGAGAAAAAAGGCAACACAAAACTACCAGTAGAAATTAGCCAGTTCAAAAGGAATAAAATTACATCTTTTATAATAACAGAATTTGAACTCTGTGGGAGGATTCTTCAAAATTTGGGAAAACTACATTTTAGTATACTCTCACAGCAGCTAGATTAAAAAAAAAAAAAAAAAGAACATTTAGTGGTTAAACGTTAACCAGTAAGGTTAACATTCCAGCACGGTGTCCAGCACCGGTCCTGGAATAAGTACTTTATCATTTTTATTTGAAAGATATGGTACATTTAAAGTCCTAAATACCTTTCCCATCACTGCTCTCTTACCTGCATACCTCTAACTCTCCCACTGCATACACATCTCTGAACACACCCAGGCTTCTCTGCCTTGAAGTGTTTGCTCCTAGCTTCCTGTTCCAAATACTGCCCATCATTTAACACCTCTCAAATATGGCTGTTTACAAAAAAGGGAAAGTTATCCCTTTTAACGTGCTTAAAATACTAGCACTTAAAATAGAGAAAATACAGGATGTCATATGAACCCTCTCACTTTTTAAAGAGATCTGGTATTTCCTTTGTGGGCAGTGTAAAGAAACATGTTCTAACTCTGGGAAAGAACAACAAAGTTCATCTTAAGAAAACATACCTTTAAAGAGTAAATTTCTACAACTTGACCTTAACTTAACAGTGACAATTTAATAAGTCAAATACAAGGAGGCTGACAATATCACACAACCCTATTCACCCAGAAGGACAAGCAGTGGCTTCATAACCACAAAGATGAGGTACACTTATAACCTTATATATGGTTCTAAAGAAGCTCTCAACCCTTAGCAGATCTCTTAAATAAGAGCCAAACTCTACTTCTATGAATTCCACATGATTATCCAAATTTTTCCTGCCACAAATATATCACATATAGATTGTCATTGTAATACCTGTGGGAAGAGAAGTTGACTATAAATAAGGCAGAATTAAAAACAGATTCTTAGGCATTCAAGGGTAAATTGGAAATGAAGAACAAAAGTAATATTCATTAAAAGAGCTACGATTCCCTAGAAATTTTTTTTAATTAGCATTAATAAAATTCTGTGAAAATTCAAGGTTACCAATTCCCTACTTCCAACAGTCAGGACAATCAACAAAGATCATAGCAGGGTCATGCCTAGTGGTAGTAGGGTTAAATTACTGCTAGAATAAAGCACACAAGAGTGTGGTCTAGAGTGTGATCTAGAGACCTACATAACAAAGATTAAAGAAAAGTCACAAAAGGATTGATCTTATCAGCTAGTAACGTAAGGACCTGTCAAAACAAATTTTAACAGTCTTCCAAGGAAGATAACAAAATCCAAATATCTAACAATGTAACATTCATAATGTTCAGCGTTCAATAAAAAATTACTAGATACAAAAAGAATAAGCAAATTGTAATCCATAACCAGTTAGAAAATGAGTCAACAGAAACAGGCCGAGGGATGATAAAAATGATAAAATTAGTAAGCAACAATTTTAAAAGTTATTACTAATATGCTCAAAGATTTAAAAGGAAAACATGAACTTGATGAAAAGAGAAACATAAGATATATCTATATTTATAAAACCCAAATAGAACTAGAGTACAATATCTAAAATGAAGAATTCATTGGATAAGATTAACAGACAAGACATTCTCCAGAAGAACAGTAGACTTAAAGGCATAGCAATGGAAACTATCTACAATGAAGCATAGAGAAAAAAAGACTGGGGAAAAAAAGAACAGAGCATCAACGACTTGTGTCACAATATCAAGCAGTCTAACATACGTGCAGTTGCAATCACAGAAGAGGAGAGAGGTGAGAGTGGAAAGAATATTTGAAGAAATAATGACCAATCTCTTACAAATTTAATTAAAACTATAAACCCATAGTTTAAGAAAGCTCGATAACTCCAAGCAGGATAAACACAAAGAAAACTCAGAGACAATCCTAAAGCAGAAAGAAAAAAAGAGACACATTTCATCTCAGGGAACAAAGACAAGAATGATTTCCATAGGAAGCAATGCAAGGTGGATGACAATGTAATATCATTGAAGTGCACAGTCATTCAAGCACATAGAAAAGTCAACTTAGAATTCTGTATCAGAGAAAACACTTTTCAAAAAGGTGAATAAAGACTTTTTCAGATAAGCAAAAAACTGACTATTCATATTACAAGAATGTTCAAGTTTTTCAGGCAAAAAGGATATGAGATGGAAACTTCAATCTACAAAAAAGAAATAAAAGTGACAGAAATTGTAAATATATGTGTAAATATATAAGCCTTTTATTCTAATTTATTTAATTTATAATTGTTTAAAGCAAAAATAACAACAATGTAATATGTGTACAACATATGTAGACACAAACGTAATGGCAACAACAATATGTAGGACAGTAGGAAGAAATGGAAGAATACTGTTGTAAGGGTGTCACTTTTGAAATAGTGTAAAGTTATTTGAAGACAGGTTAAAAATTTATATTGCAAACATAGAGCAACCACTGAGAAAAATGAGAGCTATAGCTAATAAGTCAATAGTGGAATTAATATGGAATCCTAAAAAAAAAAAAAAAAAAAACAATTCAATTCAAAAGAGGGAAAGAATGAGGAAAAAAGGAATAATGAACTTTAAAATGGAACAAATAGGAAACAAGTAGGAGTACAGTAGACTCCACCAAACTGATAATTATATTAAATATAAATGGTCTAAATACCCCCAATTAGAAAGTAGAGATTGTCAGACTGGATTAAAAAAAAAAAAAGAGATTTAACTATAAGCTATAAGCTATCTGCAGGAGACGTCCTTTAAATACTCAGATAAGTTAAAAGTAAAAGGATAGAAAATGTCATAATACCAATTCTACATAAACTCCGAAAATAGATGAGGGAATACTTCACAACTCATTTTATGAGGCCAGCATTACTCCAATACCAAAATCAAGCAAAGACACTGCAAAAAAAGTATAAACCAATAGTTCTCATGAATGGAGCGCACACACACACACACACACACACCCATAACAAAACATTAATAAATCAAATCCACAACATATAAGAAAGATAATACAACACAACAAAGTAGAGTATTCCCCAGGAATGCAAGGTTGGTTTACAATTCAAAATTGAATCAACAGAATTCACCACACTAAAGAGTAAAAGAGAAAAACCATGTCAATAAATGGAGAATAGGCATTTGACAAAATTCAACCCATTCATGACAAAAACCTCTCATCCAACCAGGAAGAGAAGGACACTTTCTCAATTTGATAAAGTGCATTCTCAAGAAACTTAATGGTGAAAGACTGTAACTTTTCTCCTAATACATTGGAAATAGGGCAAGAAGGTTTGTTCTCACCACTTTTACTCAAAAATATACTAATATTCTGTCCCATTCAATAAGGCAAGAAAAAGAAAACACATCCAGATTGAAAAGGAATATGAAAAACTGTCTCCATTTGCAGACAATGTTATGGTTCACGTAGAGAATTCTAAGGCATCTATAAGAAAGTTAATAAAACTAAGTAAGTTAAGCAAAGTTGCAGAACACAAGGTCAATATAAGAAGAATTAATTTCATTTTTATATACTAGTAACAAACAGCTGGAGAATTAAATTAAATAATGCCATTCACAGTAGCAGAAAAAAACAAAATTCTTAAGATTAAATTTAATAAATTCTGTCTAAAAACTGTATAATAAAAATGACAAAATACTGTTGAGAAATTAAAGAAGATCTAAATAAATGGAGAGGTATATCATGTTCATGGATTAGAAGATTCAATAGTCTTAAGATGTCATTTCTCTATAGTGTCTATGCAATTCCATTCAAAATTCCAGCACTCTTTTCTAGTAGAAATTGACAAGCAAATTCTAAAATTATATAGAAATGTGAAACATCTAGAATGGCCAAAATAATTTTTGAAAAACAAGAATGAAGTTGGAGAATTTATACTACCTGATTTCAAGATTTACTATAGAGTTACAGTAATCAAGGTAATGTGGTACTATGTATGTAAAGACAGACTTAGGGATTAAAGGAACAGAAAAAAGTCCAGAAATAGACCCACCCACACATATATAATCAAGTGATTTTTCAAAGAAATTACCAGGTAATTCAATAGGGTGAAAAATGATGTTTGCAACAAATGATGAAGGAACAACTAAACATTCAATTGGAAAAAATAAAATCTGGACTCTAATCTCATTCTATACTAATAATTAACTATAAAATGAACCACTGACCCAAATGTAAAAGCAAAAACTATAAAACTTTTAAAAGAAAACAAAGGACAATATCTTTGTGATCTTGAGGTATACAAAGACTTCTTAGAAACGACACAAAAAACATGAACTATAAAAGTAAAAACTGATAAACTGGACTCTACCAAAATTTAAAACTTGTGCTCTTCAAAAGACAGCATTAAGAAGGTGAAAAGGCAAGCCACAGTCTAGGAGAAAATATCTGCACTCCATTTATCTAACAAAGGATTTACATCTATACATATATATTTCTTTTTGTGTGAGGAAAGTCGGCCCTGAGCTAACATCTGCCAATCTTCCTCTTTTTGCTGAGGAAGACTGGCCCTGGGCTAACATCCATCCCCATCTTCCTTCACTTTATATGGGATGCCGCCACAGCATGGCTTGACAAGCAGTGCATCGGTGGGTGCCCGGGATCCGAACCTGCGAACCCCGGGCCGCTGCAGCAGAGCGCGCGCACTTAACTGCTTGCGCCACTGGGCTGGTCCCCAGGATTTACATCTAGAATGTATAAAGAACATTAACAATTCAATAGTAAGGAATTTTAAAATGGGCAAATGATTTGAATAAACAACTCAAAATAAGATCAAGAAATGGCGAATACGCACATGAAAAGATGCTCAACATCATTAGTCATCAGGGAAAAATAAATTAAAACCACAAAGAGGCACCTAGTAGTACACAACTACTAGAATGGCTAAAATCAAAAACACTGACGTCACCAAGTATTGACACTGTGAAGCAGAGGGCAGCAAACTATAGCCCGCAGGCCACCCTGCCCGGTTGTAAATCAAGTTTTATTGGAACACAGTGACATCTGTTCTTCTATGTATTGTCTAGGACTGCTTTTCTGCTACAACAGCAGAGTTGAGTAACTGCAACTCAGCAATAAAAACGAATGAACTACTGATAAATATCACAACGTGGGTAAATCTCAAAAACAGTCTGCTGCATAAAAAAGCCAGACATAAGAGACATAGATTAATTTATATGAAATTCTAGAACAAGCAAATTTTATCTATAGTGACAGAAACAGATCAGTGGTTGCCTGGAGCCAGTGGTGAAGAGTGGGGAGATGTGCGGACAAGGGAACTTTTGGGGGATAATAAAAATAGTCTACAACTTGATTGTACTGGTGGTTACACAAGTATATATATTTGTCAAAACCAAACTGTACGCTTAAAATGGGTGCATTTTATTGTCTCTTAATAGAGATATCTCAGTAAAGCTGAATAAATACAGAAAAAAACTTTGGGTTTAGATGGGTCTCAGACTTTTTTGGAGTTTTAGAAAAGCAGTACTGTGCATTTACTTTATAACACCCCCAACCGATTTGTAGCAGCACCACATATTTAAATACATTAATACATTTTCAGCAAACATTAATATTTAAACTGAGATAAACCTAGAAATAGCTGCACAGGTCAGGTTTTGTGGACCAATGAGTTTTAGAACCAAAGTTTAGAAAAAACTTTGGGTGTTCAGAGATTTTTTGGTTTAATCTGGCAGGTAAGAGCTTTTGGGTCTGTTCCCGTGTTTGTATACTCTGTACGTCCTGAGAGCCTCTTCTGTACTGGGGACTGTTGTCAGGTGCTTGCAGGTACACAAACACAAGCAACTCTGTCTTTGCCCTCTGGAGACAGGAAGATGAGTATGATGCAGTTCCTGCTGACCAGGGGCTCACATGGTACGAGGGAGTCAGACAGAGACAAGGAGCGGCACACGAGGCAGATTTTGATAATGTGATAGGAGACCAGAGATGGAGACATCAATTCACTCGGTCCCTGAGGACACCAGGCTGGAAAGGGAGGCCAGGGTTTCATCATGGCGGGTCTTATATGCAGGACCGAGGCGTCTGCATTTTATCCTGTAAGCAACAGCACTTCAGTACTTATTAAACCGGACTCACCAGTGATGCTCTCTGAGTCTCTGTGATCGATATTCATGAGGTTTTCTTCACCTGTTGGTGATGTAAGAATAGCATTCTGGGATTGACTCATGCAGGATCCTTTCTTGCTTTGGTTGAGAAGGACAGCTTTGGTCTGAAGCAGAGTAAAGGAAATCCATCAAGCCATTCAACAAAGAAATAGATCTGGTTGTACGTATATTTTTAAACAGATTCTTTTCTGATGAGTCCAGTGACATCTGCAGCAACGAGTGCTCTCATGTGATTATCATACATTGGACAGTCATGACCTAAAACAAAGAACACATCCAGTGACTTTGGAATTCAGAATGCTCTTTAATAACAGCAGTCCAACTACCCACAATGTCTGTCATTAAGAATGTTTTCCTAATGATACACACAACAACATGGATAAATCTCAAAATAATTATGCTTGATGAAAGAAGTCAGACCAAAAAAAGTACACAGTTTATGATTCCATTTATATGAAATTCTAGAAAATGTAAGCTTATCGATAGTGACAGAAAACAGACAAGCGGCTGCTTGGGGTTGGGGAGGAATTACCAAGGGGCAAGAGAAAAGTTTGAGATGATGAACATGCTCATTATTTTTATTGTCTGATGGTTTCCTAAGTGTATACATATATCAAAACTTATCAAATTGTACACTTGAAATATGTGCATCTAATGTATGTTAATTATAATTCAATAAAGCTGTTTAAAAAGTTTTGAAGATAACTGGACTGTTTAAAGTAAAATAATAACAATATATTGTGGGAGCTATAACATAGGTAGAAGTAAAATGTATTACAACAATAGCACAAAGGCCAGGCGGAGCAAAAAGGAAACATACTGTAAGCTTTTATACTATGTACATGAAATAGTAAAATACCCACTAGAAGGCAGACTGCGGTAAGTTAAAGAAGTATACTATAAACTCTGAAGCAACCAAGAAAATAACTCAAGAAAAATGAGCCAACAAAGGAGATGAAATGCAATACTATAAAACAGCGTTTCTCAAACCTGGCACTACTGACATTTGGGGCCGGATAATACTTTGTCATGCACATCGTAGGATGTTTAGCAGCATGCCAGTAGAATCTTCTCCCCAGACCCTCACCCTGTTCTAACAACCAAAAATGTCTTCAGATATTGCCAAATGTCCCCTGGGGGGGCAAAATCGCCCCTAGTTGAGAACCACTGACACAAAAGATGCTCAACCTCAGTTATAATTAAAATAAATAAAAACGTAAAGAAAATATTTTTCACTCATTAGACTAGCACACATTAAGTTTTATTATATTCATTGGAGAGGATATGGAGAAAGCTGCACTCATACTGCTGATAAAAGTGCAAATTGGTACAAGTTTTCAGAAATGCTATGTGGCAATGTCTACCAAACTTTTAAATGCACATACACCAGAATTCAACAATTCTACCACTAGGAATTTAAACTTTGGATATACTCACCAAGTATGCCAAGATGTAGGCACAAGGATGCCCACACAGTATTTTTTTTTTTTTTTAAACAACTGGAATCAAAATGTCCATAAAGAAATGGGTTTAATAATGGTATATACAAAGGAATACAACACATTAAATATATGTGTGTACTTTTAAAAAAACCAACCAGGAATTGTTATCAGTTAGGGGAACTTTGTTCAATACTAATTACAAACCTAGCTCTATATCAAAAGACAGTCTCTACTTAGCAACTTCCAGCTTCTATTTATGGCTGATTAATTCTCATGCCTACTATTTACAGACATTGTAAACATTCAGTGTTTTTCAAGAGTTAGCCCCAAGAAACAGAAAGGAACAAAATAAAGGCAGTGAAAGAGACTGAAAAATGGTCACTGGGGTGAATAGAGAAGCACTCTCAGCAAATACTAGGAAAGGGAGTTTCACTGACAGAAGGAGCAACAGAATTAAAAGTCAATGGGGAAATGTGGTTTAAAAAAGGGGGTGGGGGACCATAAAATCAACAGTAACCTTCTAGAAACCAGTTCAGCCAAGAGGTTAGGCCCAAAGCTAGGCGGCAAGGAGTCAAGAAGTGGGATGGTAAGAATGGAGTTTAGTGGGTACAGACCAAGACTTCCAACACCCAGACTTCCAGACTTCCACGGACCAGTAAAATTTCAAAAACTTCTGTGGTTACTGGCATAGGTTTTTTTTTTTTTTTTTTTTTACCATTTCTATTACTCCATAAACTAAAAAACATTCTATAAGGAAAAAAATTAAATAGTGAAATAAACAACAGTGCTTCCCTAAGGGACTTTTGTCATGTTGGCATTTAATTTTTCTATATTTAAACTCAGAAATTTTTAATAATTTTTTAAAATTCTATTATATATATAACTATTTTCTTGAAATATGTTTGTCAATATAGCAATCTGCACTATCCAGTGCAACATGAAGTTCAAAAGTATTTGTTCAGGTACTCTAATTTTAATTCCAGTTGTCAAAAATTCATTGTCATTTTTTTGTGTAAGATTAGCCCTGAGCTAACATCGGTTGCCAATCCTCCTCTTTTCACTAAGGAAGATGGGCCCTGGGGTAACATCCGTGCCCACCTTCCTCTACTTTATATGGGACACCGCCACAGCATGGCTTGACAAGTGGTGCGTCGGTCCATGCCCAGGATCTGAACCTGCGAACCTGGGCTGCCGAAGCAGACTGTGCGAACTTAACTGCTATGCCACAGAGCTGGCCCCAAAAATTCATTTTCATATCCAAGAGCAGTCTATTGTATGCAACTGAATTCTTCCCCATGTATCTTACTGTCCAAATTGCCGTTCCTAAATCAATCACTGCAAGGCGAATGGAACTAAAATCAGAGCAAACCAGTGAAGATTTGCTCACCTCTGCCCCCCGAAATCAGGAGGAGGAAGAAAGCGGCCTCCCCTGAAGTACAGGACTGCCAAGCATCTGAACAAACTCCCAACTAGAAGAAGGGGGAGGAATGATGCCAACAAATCCCAACAAAGCTCTAGAGAATTGCTTTTCAATTAGTTTTGGAGGTTTTGTTAATGGTTTGGTCCTAACTCTTACACAACAAAATCCCAAGACGATTCTTGGGTAGGCCACCAAAAACCACCTGCCACATAAGTATGTCACATATAATCTTTATCAAGGTCTTTTAAATTATAATACTCCAGGGACCCCGATTTATAAATTATGAACCCAGTGATATATTTAAAAAAATAGAATGGCAATGCAAATATAAGAATAAACATGCTAGTGTGTAGCAGGCCATGTAGCGCAGCTCAGCAAACTACTGCCCGTGTGCTGAATTTGGCCTGCCATCTGTTTCTGTATAACCTGTCAGCTAGGAATAGTTTTCACAACTTTAAATGGTTGAAAATAAATCAAAGTTAAAATGTTTCATGATATGTAAAAATTACACTGAATTCAAATTTTAATGTCCATAAATCAAGTTTTATTGGAACACTGCCATGCTCATTTGTTTAGGTATTGTCAATTGGCTTCTCAGAACAGACTTCTACTCTCTACATGTACAAGTGCATTTAAAAGTTATTTTCAATTTCTAAGAAAGCATTTTTTAAAAAAGTAATAAGTTACAAATTTGCTTGTGAAGATGCAAGTGGAGAGGGGAGGGAAGATAAGGAAGAAAGTGAGAGAAGAGAGGGAGGCAGATAAAGAGAGGAGATAAAAGCAAAGTGCCTCTCATACTGGTCCAAACTGGTTCTTAAACAGAACTGTGGTTCTTAATCACATTTTAATCAAAGACGGTTGTGAAAACCTAATGATAACCTTGGGACCTTCTGCCTGTCGCTCTGTTACACACTAGCTTGTTTAATCTTATATTTACATTACCATTCCTATTTTTTCATATTTACACATATCACACAGGAATACAAAAAACTGGACTCCAGATCTTGGCTCTAGAGAATTGCTTTTCAATTAGTTTTGGAGGTTTTGTTAATGGTTTGGTCTTAACTCTTACACACAAGAATAGAGAAAAGCAAGTTGAACATAGAACTAAGCCCATCTCCAGAGTCATGCAGGAAGAATCTAGACCTGCAGGGCAATCCAGGAACCTGCCCAACCTGCAGACTGCACCAGGTCAGGGATCATCCGGAAATGATACGTCTTTCCTGGTGATGCTTTAGAACTAAGTAAACCCTTTGGATACACCCTAGTCTAGACTGAGCTCCTCAGTAGGATTAGTTTGGAGTAGCAATGCTGAGTGTAGAAGAATATATGCAACTTTGCATTAGACCAGCCTCAACTTTCATCTTCTTTACTGGTTTTCTGACTTTGAGCACATTATTTAACAGTTCCTCACTGTCCAGATGGGAGTAATAATTAACTACTCTTTACAGGGAGTGTCAGGTATGAGGACTAAATAAAAATAGTCCTGACACACAGTCGACACTAAAATGCTTATCCCCTTCAGCTTCCCCCTTTCGCTTGAGCCTGAAGAAAAGATGATGTCTTCTGCCTAGTATTTCTTAAGTTTGTAGCTCAGCAGTCAACTCTGAGCTCAGAATGGCTACCCTGTTTGACTCTGTAATAGATGTAATCTAAAGATTATCTCTGAATAATCTTCATATAGAAAGAAATAAGGACTAAGAAACTGTGGTCCTAGCAATAAAGTGACAAGTGCCATAAAGCAGGACCTCTGAGGGCGATTACTGAAGCTCATTCCTTCATGGATTCTGGAGAAGGGCTGCTTATAATAAAAAGTGTTACCTATAACTAGTACTTGTATCCACAGCATAGTGGCTGTATTAGTTTCCTATTGCTGCTGCAACAAATTACCATAAATTTGGTGGCTTAAAACAATACCAATTTATTATCTTACAGTTCTGAACACCAAAGGACGAAATGGTTTCAACGCACCAAAACCTAAGTATTGGCAGGGCTGTGCTTCCTCTGGAGACTCTAGGAGAGAATCCATTTCCTTGTCTTTTCTAGCTTCTAGAGCTACATTCCTTGGCTCAGGGCCCCCTCCTCCATCTTCAAAGCCAGAAGCACAGCATCTTCAAATCTCTCTCTCTGCTTCCACTGTCACATCACCACATTCTGCCAAATCTCCCTCTATCTCCCACTTATAAGTACACCTATGATTACCTTCGAGGCCCAATGGGATAATCCAAGATAATCTCCCCATCTCAAAATCCTTAATTTAGGCC